AAAAGATATTTCAGCGGAACGCAACTGGCGGAATGTCTGCGATTGGACGGACTTCATTCCGCCAATTCCGCATTGCGCATACGTTCCGTACCATGGGATCGCACCATTATTCAACGTACTGGAAATGATTCAGTTGCCATTTTGTAACACTCGAGGCTAACGGATCTAATAACAGCCAATCAAATGGAGCAGAGCTATCGAACGTATTTAACATAGGAAATCGTTGAGCTTTTGTATAATGTGTGAGACTAACTTGAATTTAAAAGTAAAAACCAATTGCGTTCGACCGATGTTTAATGGTTGCACTTTGTTGCTAAAAATGTGGCTATTGAATTTTATTTATTAAATCTTGGGAACGCGAACGGAAGCGGTAGTACCAGAGCCCTCGAGTGGTCGCGTCTGATACTATATGTATTGATTGATGTCTGTTGCTATCTAATGATGACTATGTAGAGTGAAGAGATTATTTTTTTTAAGAGACTACATACATTTAGGACAAGGAAAAGTAGATTAATTTTTGACTATTTTTTTAGTAAAAAATTTGTTTAATTGAAAAATCATTATGTACATCTCAATCTATATTACTTTTATCTATTATTTTATCTATTATTGATTCTGTAAGTTTTATTTAAAAATTAATAAAAATAAGAATGTGACAGTCATTTCCGAAGAGATTTTTTTTAAAACAGCTTCCGCTGTAATCAGAATATCTTCATTAGTTGAAATTTTACCTGAAATAAAAATAAAAATTTTTTTCTTCAAAATTATTTAAAAAACTAGTCCGTGACGTAGCGGATTTTAATAATATTGATTTCTCACAAAATGGCGGCCATCTGAATATAGATGTGATTTTTTACTAAATACAGAAGATTCTTATAGCTGACGTTGAAAAAATCTATAATTATCCATATTTCTGTGGATAACTTGCGAAGATATGATATCGCGAACTTTTCAATATTGTCGACATTAAAATTACCCAACGTTTATATCACACAAAGGAGATTGTATTTACATATCTCTCTCGTAGATATATACGTGCATGCATGCGTGTGTGTATGTAAAGGTTTCAATACCTATACATAATGACATTCTAAATAATCTAAATAAATTAATATTGTTATATATTAACTTCATACATTTATACCAAAATTTACTTACATAATTAGGTTTCAAGTGGGGTGCCACCTTTCCAATTGCTATTCTATTTTCTATTTCTTTGTTCCATGCTACTACTTGTATTCGATGTCGGCTATTGTTATTCAACATAAATTTTAACAATCTATAATTTTTTAACTTTGGCAACACATTTTTTGGCCCCACTATTTCATTTACATAATCAATCAATTCATTGAAAAATTTATTTTCATAACACCTCCACGGAAAGTTCGACTTTCCATGCCTGTAGAGAGGGACGAAAGTGGCCAATTTTATGCCAGGCGGGAAAGTTGTTACTTTCGTCCCTGTTACAGGGACGAAAGTGATCACTTTCCTCCCTGTTTAGCGAGCGGAAAGTAAAGTAACGGGCAAATCTTAAAACATATATAGGAAGCTTTCCAGCAAGTGACAAGTCGACACAAGTGTCGTTTTGTCTTTGTTACTCATTGCCAAAAAAGAAAGAAAAACGACGTTTGTGTCGACTTGTGTCGCTTGCTGGCTGTATCATGACTGAAGATACATCTGAATCAACATCTAAAATAAAGGAAATAATCCAATCTTTCAATTCCAAAATTGTAGTATAAATATTAAATTCACTAATTAATGCTTATTCTTTGTAAAAATTATATTCTTTAATTATATTTTAAAAATTAATAGACGGCGATACGAGTCAAGCGCGGTACGTGGTGCGCAAATAGAGAATTAATAGTTACTGAAGTAACAAATTAACATATGTATATACGTATATATACATATATTCCAACTTAATAAACTGCGCGCCGATTATTTGTCGGACTTGAAACACAGCTATCGTTGGAACATGAATATTTTTCGCAATAATTTCTTTACAGTTTTTTATATAATTAAATCGTGTAGATTTAATTCCGGGGAGGGAAGGGTATTAATGTTCCAATGATAGCTGTGTTTCAAGTCCGACAAATAATCAGCGCGCAGTTTATTAAGTTGGAATATATGTATATACGTATATACATTTTAATTCGTTACTTCTGTAACTATTAATTCTCTATTTGCGCACCACGTACCGCGCTTGACTCGTATCGCCGTCTATTAATTTATTGACATTTTCACGGGTCTAATGATATATTTATATTCTAAAAATTATATTTTTTACATTTTTTGGAAATTTTATTGTTATTTTAAAATTAAAATTATTTATATATTTTTTTAATTTTATTTTAATTTTATTTTTTTTATGTAGGGGGTTTTGTCCCCCCCCCCCCAGGGGCTTCACCTCTGGACCTCACCGAGGGCTTTACTCCTGGGCCCCACCAGGGCTTCGTTTCTGGACCCCACATCACTCTCTTTTTCTCTTTCTATTTAACTACACGCGCGTATAAACTGTATGAATGGAACATCAAACGCATACACTCTACAGGCATTCAAAAGTCGAACATTTCCGTAAAAAGGTGTTGTGAAAAATATCGTGTGCACCTCGGGTCGAAAGCTTTTTCAGACTCGTGTGATTTGCCGCCCGAGCCGAAGGCGAGGGCGACAAACTTCGTCACACTCATCTAAAAAACGCTACTTTCGCGTGGTGCATAATATACTATAAAGTGTATTATACATAGGATAACTCGGGGGAATATGCCATACTTAAGAAAAATTTGATTTTTTTTCCTATTTTTTTCCTTTTTGAAGTATCTTTGCATACTGGTCTTCTTTTTCCTTCTTTTATCTGTTATTTATATATGGTTTTAATGAAATATTTTTATTGTTTACTATTAAAAAGAAAAAAATACAAAAATGTTGCAAAGTGGCATATTACCCCTACCCATGTGAGTAACATGCCACATAGTATGGGATAATATGCCACATATATAAACATGACGTATTATAGTAATTTAACTTTAGAAGTTATTTTATTCAAAAAACAGTACAAATAGTTTAGAAAATTAGTCAGTACGAACAGTTTCTTAAATAAAATTTTAAAATAAAATTTTGAAATTAAACAATATTATAATGTTTGTTTGCACAACATTTAAAATTAAAATTATTACAAATTTTAAAAACTTATATAAGAGAAGGAGATGCGTTTCTTTACCCTCTTAGAAAATATTCTAAAAAAAGTATACACGTTAAAAAAAGAATAGATAAACTTTACATGAAGATAATATCTGATAAATCATCTCAGAGAGTGCATGTTGTATCCTAGTCTCTCCTGTTGTATCCAAGCATCGAAGGTAATATACCTACAAATAGATAGAAATCCATTATTAGTTTATCAAACAGTTAGTTATCAAACCTTTTAAATTTTAAAAGTTTATAAACTTTTATATTTTATTAAAAATTTCAATTTTATAAATCTTATACACCTTGTGTCAGCTACTTTTTTTGCAGCATGAAACTTTTGATAAGCAGTCCATGAATCCATTTAGTGCAACAATTAGATATTATCTAATCATATTTTAGACCATTGTTAGCATAATTAATATCCATTGTATACATCGCAGTACATATTGTTATCCTCGTCAATATTACTGGCAGAATCATTGAATTTATCTTCTTCCAATGACCCTGAATCATGGGCATTCTTCACTTTCTTTTTCTTCTGAATGATTCTTACTTTCTTCAAACTTTTCCTTTTGTTTTTATTTTTATTTAATGTGGCATTTTTATTTTTTAATATCTTTTCCCGTACTTTTTCTCTATTTTGTGGTGACGTCAACTCCTGAGCATGTTGTTTCCTTTTTGTGGCTCTAGGCTTTCTTAAGTATTGGCACAAGTACAATTTCTTCAAATGTCGTAAGAGAGGAAGTAGAAGTAGATGTCAAGGTAGAAACAGTTGTAAGCTCAATATTGTTAAAAGGAATATGTTGCTAGTTGGTGGTAGCAGGAGAACTGTTGCTTGCTCAAGAGGGCAGCTAACCGATGTTGCCGACGGTTCATCAGAAGAAGTTTTATCGTAAACAAATTCGAATTGTACAAGAGATTCATTTAATTGACTGACACTGAGATCAATTAACTGTTGGTCGTTAGTAACGCATCTGGTTCTCTATATTGACTGATTAGAGGTATTTTGCAGTGTTTCCGAAGCATTAGATATTCTAAATGCATGCTCTGTATTTGCTCAGGTTATTCTTTTACACGCGTTTTATAAAATTAATAATCTTACTATAGTTTTTATACAATTTATCACATACTTTTATATCTTTCATTTCATATCGATCTCTCTTCTCAATCTTTTTTGTGCAAAAAATACGTACTTTTTCTTTATGAATGCATTAAAGTAATTAATATAATTTAATTTTTTTATTTTAAGCACAAATTCTAAAAAATCGAAATATATTTAATATATATACTTCATTACTTCATACTATATTATCTGATATTTTTTATATGCACGATGTAAATAAATTTTAGATAAGTTTAATAGTTAATAAATTCTATCAATATTTAAATTTAATTTATATTTGTAATTTATATTTATATTTATTTTTCTTATCAAAATAATGTTTGATGCAATAAAGAGGTAATAATATCGATCAAAATAACTTGCATAATGTTTAATTCTAATTTCATTGTATATTTGAGGGAGAAAGAGAACGCGTGTAGGACTTAAATTAGCAACCTATAGCGCGAAAGGTTAGTCAATCGCTCTAGTGACTCACTTTACCTTAATTTATACGATCATTAACGCATATCGCCAATATGCGATATGCCCGGGATTGGCGGTCGACGATAATGAATCACCGGTTAATTACGCATTGCAGGGCGAACTCAAAAAGAGAGAGAGAAAAAGGAGGGAGGGACCATCGAAATTAGTTTGGTACATCCGGGAGTTCGTGGGAACTAAAGACAACAGTGTTTCTTTCGCGTATAAAACATATTTAATGTATAAAATTTCTCGCTTACTTCTATCAAGTGCAACAAAGACTCAAAATAATATAAAAAAATAATAAAGTAATTACTAATAAAAAAAACAATTCATTTTTAATAGAAATGAGAGATAGATAAACAGAGTCTATTTTACCATTTGAAAGAATTGTCTTATGGGCATTAATGGATGATATATACTACGAAGAGCTCGTTATAGATATTCTTCGGTGATCGCTCGGCTGATGACCATACGTCGTATCTCATTGCTGCCCGCACCGATCTCGTAGATCTTCGCATCTCGCAGCAATCTTCCCGTCGCGTAATCATTGATGTACCCGTTGCCACCTGTCGAGAGATTATCCTTAAATAAATATCTCTAAAAACGTTTAAAAATTTCTCCATCAATAAGTTCGACCTTATATCCTCTACGTCTGTTCTTTTATAAATAATTTACAAGTACTGTACTATTAATTGTCGATAATAGATTTACCAAGTATCTGTATTGCGTCCGACGCTGCTTTCATTGCGTTCTCGGCGGAGAAGAGGAGCACCGCGGCGCAATCCTTGCGATTTATGTGACCGGCGTCGCAGGATCTCGCGACAGAGTACAAGTAGCTCCTGCTCGCGCTCAAAGCCGTGTACATATCCGCTATCTTCCCCTGAAACGTGATTAGAATTGGACGGCATCTCAATTGGAGATCGTAAACATTTTTCAAACAAACAGAGACTTGTTGTCTTGTTTTACCTGTATTAATTGGAATTGCGCGAGATATTGGCCGAATTGCTTTCTCGAATGAGCGTACTCAAAGGCGATGTCGCAACAAGCTTGCAAAATTCTAAAATTTACGTTCAAATCGCACAGTGAAATATAGACACGCTCATTTGTGAATAAAACCTAAACATTTATTTATCGATAATCTGACGAAAATAAATTTTTAATATTAAAGTTTCTGTCGCACTGTAATACACGTCAAAATGTAAAAATGTATACATATAATACGCAATATAATGGATTTTCAAGAAATATAATTTATATTTCATTGATCGTAAAAGATGCATCTGACAATCTTGATAAAACCTCCTTTAACGCGGAAAAACTATAGAACATCAAGTGCAATATATCATTGTTTTCTTGAGAACTTACCCCACAGGTCCACTGGATAATACTAATCGTTCCAAATCCAGTCCGCTGAAGAGCACATAAATACCTTTGTTAACTTCTCCTAAAACATTCGCGGCTATAACAGAAATTTACAATTTTTTTAGACAAGCAACTTTTATATAAGAAACGATAGGATAATAATTGATTTCAATCGACTGATAAAGTTAATAGACTTAATAAAATGTTGACAATTTCTTAAATTCCTTACTCTCTTATATTTCTTTTAATATATCTCTTAATCTGGATAGTAAGATCTAAGATCTCTTCCGCGTTTCTTCAAGCGCCAGACTTACCTGGCACTTTGCAGTCCTCGAAAATCAGTTCACCCGTACTCGAGCCGCGCATTCCAAGCTTGTCCAGCTTTTGCGCCGTGCTGAAGCCTTCCGTGCCGCGCTCGACGATAAAGGCTGTGATACCGTGCTGCGGTTTATCCGCGTTCGGATCCGTTCTCGCGTAGACGACCAACGTGTCCGCGTCCGGGCCATTGGTGATCCAGAACTTGTTGCCGTTCAACACGTAGTGGTCACCTTTCCTCTCGGCCCGCAGCTTCATGGAGACGACGTCGGACCCGGAACCCGCTTCCGACATCGCCAACGCGCCCATGTGTTCGCCGCTGCACAGCTATAGGAAGTCTCGTATAATACGAATAATTTATTTATATCATCGATGATTGCACAAGCGACATGAGTGCAATTCCATCGATGGAGACATCAAAGGCGCCTTTTTATTTTCGTGAGAAAGCTAATTCATATAATTGGAAATACCCAATCTACTTTTATAATTGTAATTAGAATTTATTCGAATTTATTCACCGGAATATTTATTTACTAAAATATTATATATGTATATTTTTTTTAATACAAGACTTCAAAGATTTAATGTTAGGCCTGGTGTGTCTGACATGAATTCAGAAAGCTTCTATTGCTTCCTCATAGAGGAAGCTTTGTGATGGTGAAAAAATTTTTTTTCGAGATTTTGATGGAAATAGGTTTAGAATGTTCTAAAATGTCGAAAAATCGTATTAGTAAAAAATGTCCGGAAGTATGTATGTATGTGTGTGTGTGTGTGTGTGTGTACGGATTTTTTGTACACGCATCTACTTCTACAATTTTTTAGATACCGGGTTGAAATTTGGCACACAAATAGAGTATCATAGAAAGTATGTCCTCCTCAAATTTTATTAAAATCCATAAAACGGTATAGATTTTATGCAGATTTTCATTTTTTTGAAAAATGTGTTTTACGCTGCATCTTTCTCAATATTTGAGATAGCGATCTATTTTTAACTCTATTATATTTTTGAGTTTTTTCTACCCCTATTTCATATATAATTCATTAAAATTTGATTGATTAGATCTCGTGTTACACACATTTGAAATTTCGGAGAATTATATATACAGTTTCTAATTTATATAATAATTGAAATCGAGTTAAAATGTTCATATTTGATAGCTTCGGTTTTATCTCGAAAAATCGTATTAGTAAAAAATGTCCGGAAGTATGTATGTATGTGTGTGTGTGTGTGTGTGTGTGTACGGATTTTTTGTACACGCATCTACTTCTACAATTTTTTAGATACCTGGTTGAAATTTTTAAAGAGGTTAAGTTTTTAAAGAGTTAGGTGTGCGAGTAGAAACCTGCACATTGCTTGATTAGAGTTTTTAAGTGTTTAAGTAGAAACCTTCGCACACAAAGCTTCCTCTATGAGGAAGCCAACACAAATAAATACTGAAAATTATACATTGAAAAAAATAATGCTTCATCAACTTGCACACTTAATAACTATGAGGAAGCAATGTGCAAGTTTCAACTTGCACAATTTTTTCTTGTTTATAATTTATAATTTATGTAACTGTAGATATGCATCATAAATTTATATTTACAATTTAAATTATAATTTAAGATTCTCTGAGAGATGTAACGTTCGGGGTTCGGGGCGAATTACCTTAGGCAAGTACTTGCGCTTCTGTTCTTCCGTGCCGTTTCGGTGGATTTGATTGACGCAGAGATTCGAATGTGCACCATAACTGAGCCCGATAGCAGCCGATGCTCTGCTTATTTCCTCCATGATAACTATATGATCGAGATACGTGCCCCCTGTGCCACCATACTCTGGCTTCACCGTCGGGCCCAAAAGGCCTAGTTTACCCAATTCCCTCCAAAACGTCTGTATCCGTATAATTTGTTTTTTTAAATAGGATTGTCGATTAGAACGTCGAGATTAGGACGCGAAATCGAATTTAATTCATTGCAGTTCACGATTTCCTTATTGAATTTCTTTTCTGCATTAAGATCGTTTTTCACGATGCATAGAACACTTACCCTCAATTCGTCGAAATTATTTTTCTTATCGATCTCAGCGGCCTTGGGCGCCAGCTCCTTTTGTGCAAAATTGAAAACGAGCGAACGAAGCTGAAGAAAGAGCAACAAATTGCTAATAATTATTGCTATTAATAATTATTCAAAGTCAATCAAATTCTTGTAATCTTTGTTTTTTTTTTTACAAAGTATTTCTATCAAAGCATACAATAGCACTAAAATAAAATTTTATAACATTTATGTATGTACGTCTTTCTTCATATATGTATGTATAGTAACGACTTCCCTTTCCATAAGCGACGCAATACTTCTAACTGGTACTGTATACTTCCGCAGCTAAGGGATTAAATGTATTTTTGTGCATAACATATATATTTATTGTTATTATTATGTTAAAAAATATTATATTTTATGGAATCGCTGCATAAAAATAAGTTATTGTTAATAAACATCTGCAACTAATTTGTTTCAGGTAAAAAAATTCGCAGAAACTTATTTTCATCAAGATTCAGACACTTTTGTTAACCATTATAAACATGATAAAAAGACATAAAAAGAATCTTAAACAGTCCGTAGATACTTTTACAAAGCATTTTGGGAAAATTAATCTCAAGTAACCAATTGATTCGATCAATCAAAAATACCAAATGTGATGCAAAACTCACAATTACCTACATAAATTTTCAGTGTAATATACTAATTTTATTTATTAACCCTTAGCTGGCACATTTCATCAGAATCGCACAGCTGGCACACTGGAGCCGTTTCAGACCCCACCACTAAAATGCTTGCTGCGAGGGGAAGCTATTGATTTTTTTTATTTAAAAAAATTTCGAGATAGTTTTCGAATGTTGTTTTAACAAATGTCATAGGTTATTTTGATAAAATCTAATATTAAGTATAAAAAAAATTGGAGAACGTAAAAGAAAACGAAAAAATAACTGTTTTCACTCAAGAATTCATAACTTATATTTTAACTCTTCCATTTTTTAGTACCATTTTTGTATTGTAGGGGGGGCTTAAATTAAAGCTGAACTAGGGTTCCTGTAAGTAGAGTTGGGCCAATATCCGTAGCTTTGTCTCACTTCCAGTCTCCCACTAACGTCTTGTCAATAAAAGACCATCGTGAAGTATGTTATACCTTTGTCTCACTTCCACTTATAGCTTTGTCTCACTTCCACTAAAAAACCGGAAGCGCTGATCGGGAAATGGCGGAGCCAATCAGCGAAAGGAACACCATTGGCTCAACTCTTCCTTGACCAACTCTAAGCTGAACTAGACAGGGGCGTTTAATACCCCATAGTGCCAGCTAAGGGTTAATATCGTTTTTCAATAATTGTTTATTCATTTTTTATCATTTCCAATACTTGTCAATATTTATAGTATTTTATTAATAGTTTGGAAGCTATTGATAAAATCTTCTATGACATATTAATGCCCTATAATTGACATACTATTTATATATATATAGTATTAGGTTTCATGTTGCTTGATATTTTTTGTAAAATAAAAGTAATGTAAAATTCTGCTGTAAAATCTACTGTAAATATCATATTCTTGCATCAACAGTATAAATTATTCTCAAACGAGCACTGATAAGTATTAAAAGTACAATATGTAGAAAAGGCAAATTTTAAAAGTAAAATATTTATTAACCATTGTTAGCGTATACATAAAAATATTTAAGTCGCTTGTAAAATACTGTCTACACTGTTAAAAAGATGAAATTTAAACCAATACCTTGTGTGTTAAATAACATTTTGTTATTTTTAACTACCATGTATGTCGAGATTTATTACTTTAACACAAAACAGTATTACTTTGACTCGATTAGTTAATTTAGTTAAATTAACGACATATTGAGTAAGAGCAGTGGCGACCTATAGGAATTGTTAAAAATGATTTAAATTGAGTATAATTTGACACTACAAATTTAAAAGTGTAGGCAGTACACATGTCGAAAAGACTTCATAAAGATGCTTTAAGACTTTTTTTTAGACACATATGTGTAAATGACTGTCCAGGTGTCTAGCTTAAACTTTAAAATTTTACGTTGAGGCAAATGGGGCGAAGGGAAGTTTATATAAACGACTATTTTTCAAGATATTTTCATGTGAATTTTAATTATTATTAAAATAAGATGTACATTTATTGTTTATATGTTTTTGTCGGTTATACGCGTTTGCATTACTTCCTTTGAATTGAATATTATTGCAATATCGAAGTTTTTAACTATGATAGACAATTTTATCCGTAACATATCGCACAAGACACTATAAAGTCGAACATGATTCAATATATTTCGCCTCTAATTACACCTGCAATTCGGTCTTTGTATTATAATGTAACTACTATTTCTCGTATAGAAATGATAACGAGAGAGAGAGAGAGAGAGAGAGACAACAATATTTATAAAATAAATCCTTTGCTTTATAATTACGAATCTATATTACCTGATCACCTAATCACTTAAAAATCTTTCGACATATATACTTCATAGTTACTAAAATCGATATAAATTGTATCTTATATGCATTTTATGTGAATTATTTCACATTATAAAATATGTTTCAAGCAGCCAAGATCTCTCAGATACAGCAATATATCAGCAAGTATTTTACATACTTCGTCTCCGCCGACATATTTTTGCTTTTTTGCACTTCTCAAAAAGCCTAGACTAATTGTATCTTGTACTATCGTTTCTGATTTGAGATATCCTAACATTGCCGGTAAAAAATGGGATGCGACTATAAAACCGAAGAGAGCGCCCCTCCTAAACTCGTCCAACAGAGCGTTATATGAATATTTCTCAATGTCTTGAACGCCAGCGTCCAGCAAATACTCCATCAGCGCGTCGTGATAAGCCCGCATGATGTCGAAAAATTTCTCTCGTATCTCTTCATTTGAGCAACAGTTGCAGAGATACGTGGAGAGATCGATGACGGGCGTCGAATATCTAATAAGCGCGAAATCGATCAGCATCGCGCGATATCGTCCACCCTCATCCGCCTTAAAGAGAATGTTGCTCAATAGAAAGTCGCCGTGGCACATCGTGGCCAGAGGTTCAAGCGGCTTTATTATCTTTATCATTTCGTCAAACGCGTTCGTGAGGAAGGCTTCCATCCTGTCGCAGAAAGCTGCATCGTGGCCTTGTCTGCGGAGATATTTCAGCGATCGCGTCGCCTTGACATTGAAAGTAACATCAAACACGGTTCCTTTCACGTATCTAGACTCTTGCAGTCGCGCCACGACGTCGAAGAACTTTTCCCGCTGCAGTTCCTTCATGACGTACCCTTTACCGTGAAATCGTCCTAACTCGCGCATCCCCGCCAACGTGTACTCGAAAGGGGCGTTATGCGGGTATGAGCAAGGATGATATCCTCGTTCGTTAACGTTCTCCAGGGCGATCACAAAATCGGTGGGCGACCGTTTTTCGGCGTAGTAACATCTTGCGTAAAAATGCCTCTCGTTCGGTTGAACGTACGTTCGATAGAACAGAATCTCGTTGTCAAATTGAAGATCGATGCGACTTATGTGGATGAAGTTCTTCATCTTCATGGGTCTCTTTAGCACCATAGACAATTCCTCGTTCTGATCGTTTGCTTTATTCTTAAACTGCAGGCGTACGTAATACATGATTGTCATTATAAAGTTGATAGATTTGGAGATTTCGTATCGAGCTTTGTCAAATCCAACGTCCAATCCAAGATTCTCGATGATCCTCGCCATCACCTGGTCGAGCCATCTTTGAGAATCTTCGACGTGAGAGTCGTCGGACATTTTCTTTGAATATGCGATTCGCGTGTAAATTAATAATAAAATAATTTGGATTGTTGATCTAGAGAGAGTTTGTTGCCTCGACAGCTCGAACAGTACTAACCATATAGTAGTTTCCCGTAAAAAGAAAATCGACATGAACAGTAGGAGATTGATATTAATGCATATCATAATGTATCAAAAATAATCGAGCCATATCAATACAATACGCAAATACAATGTCAATACAATGTCAAGAGATAGTGCACGTGCCTATTATCAGCTGTTCACTACATATTCAAAATACTATGACAGACTGTGGCGATAAAGTCACAAGCATGCGTCAAATGCTTAAAATCGTCTCCGTAAAACGACTGACAAAAACCCTCAATTGAACCATCCATTTATTTTTTGACTGGTTTAAATCACAATTGCGTTAATATTTATCATTTTTTAGTTCCTTTATAGAAATTTAATACTGTAAGTGATTTTTTGGCTAGTGATTAATCATTTAAAAGCACTATTAAAAGCACTATTAACAGTGCTTTTAATAGTGTTTTTAAGTGATTAATTACTAGCCAAAAAATCACTTACAGTATTAAATTTCTATAAGGGTTAACTGTTAATATGGCTATTTATATGGTTTAGGAACACGTAGTGTAATGATAATTAACAATTAAATTAATATAATATATAAAATAATAATATTTTACAGTATAATTATAGTAAGTTATAATCATCATTATCACAGAGCTAATTGATAGTATTCCGCACGTTTTTCTATTTTTTAATTGTAACTATATATTAAGGAATAAAAATGAAGCGTATCGATATGTACACTGTTCAACAAAAAAAAAGAGTTTTCAAGCACAAGGACGAGAGTAATAAAATGTTTTCCGTAATTCAGAAGTGTTCGGCGAGAGGGATGAAAGGGGGAATCCTACAAGTGGTGGATGCGGAGTTCGAGGGAGTGCTTTTCTTCCGGCGAAAAAGTGGTGGACATAGGAAGGAAAGCGAGAGGAGCCGATATTTCTAGTAAGCGGGGGGGGGGAGGTGAGAGGAAAATCTCTGCGGCTTTTCAGAAGCGGAGGAGTTTCGTGGGGTATTCTGCGACGTCACATCGAGTGATAAAAGAAACTGTGATAGTGTGCAGCACTCAATGTCATCAATGTCATCATCATTATAATGATAGTTTTTGCAGCAGAGCCATTGTTAAGGTTTTGCAAAAATTGTCATATCCGGTGATAGAGATCGAACCGTGTGCAACACATATTATAGATATAAATTATATGTTGCACATTATAAATAACATATAATCTTAATGATTAATTGCTCTTTTCCATCAATCTGCATATAAAAAATCCGAGTTCTAGTCATTATCATCATCGTATTTATAATACGGATAGTTTTTGCAGCGTCAATCATTGTCAAGGTTTTACGGAAATCGTCATATCCAGTGACAGAAATCGAGTGCAACATTCACAACTGCTTCCTGTTGAGATCAATAGTCCTAATATATAAAACCTACAGCGAGAACCGAGAAGTGTTATTAAAATCAAATAACTCATCGAAAGTGCAGTATCCAAAGTTTGAAGTATAAGGTCGTCAAGATAGAGAACATTAAGAACTGTAAGTAAAGGGCAACGTAAAAAGAAATCTATTTGCTTCAATCACTCAGATGCAGATGAAGATAAAGAAAGGAACAATGATGAAAAAAATTATAGGTCCAGTTGTAAGAATAGGTTGAAAGTTTATGGTGGAAAAAAAGTAAATGTATTTATTAACGAAGAACAATCTGAAGACGATTTTAACGAATAGAACATAGATAAAGCTCTTCCGGCGTGGTCTGCAAAAATATAGAACTCCCAAAATAATACCAATAATTATTGTTAAATTTGTAACAAATAATCAAAACGATGCTAGAAACGTTGAGTTTCTATTTTCTTTTTTGTACTTTAATCCTAAAACATACACATATCTTTTTTAATTTAAATTTCAGTGATGCAGAAAAGCAGAAAACTGGCTGTTAATTATTTAGAAAACATTCTAAAATATATCGGCATCTGAAAGTGAAAATATAATAGTGGTTCTGAAGAGGCGTTGAATATGAACAGGAGCACAGAAAATGATACTGTATTAAATTGACGGTAAAGTTCTTTTCTTTTTACTGTAAACATTATACAAATTGATAATGTAACAATTTCACGTAAAAATACGTTTTTAAAAATTCAATATCTTTGTCATATTTTATTAAAGGTATAAAAAATATGTTATTTAGAAGTAGTATAATATTGCCATTAAAGAACTCTTTCACTTCTCTCATATTTATCACTATAAAATCGATTGCGTATAGTAAACTACGGAAGTAAAAAAAGTGTAAAAATTAGAAACTTGCACATTATTGCATATTATTGCTTCCTTATCATT